CCCCTCCCGCGTGCTGCTCCTGCGGCTGCTGCTGCTGCTGCTTTGTGGCCAGGGCAGGAGGATTGGGAAGATGCTAAAAAGCTACTCGGAGCACTGTCGGAGGGTTGATTGCCTGAGCTCGCACGGTTCAATGTTAATTAACCCTTAGCTGCATGCCTGGAAATGAGCTGAGCTCAGGGTCCCCTCGCTGGATGGGGTTGGTTTTCTTCCTTCTTTTCTCTCTGCCCTTTCCCCCTCTTCGCGGTTGGTTTTTTTGGTGGTTTTTTTTATTTGACTTGGAATTTTTATTAGCCCTGGTTTGGCAGTGGTGGTTTTGCCATGCTGGTTTGGAACAGGTGATGGTTCCTCAGGTGTTTTCGCTGTTCCCCCTAATGGGCTTAGCTGGGAGTTGTTGAACTTTGTCCCAAGGAAAGGCAAATTAACCCCCCCAAGTCAGGGGCTAGGTGTGTTAGTGAAGGGCTCTGCTCTCTTCTCCCCTCTCAACTTTATTCCATCTCTCTCTTTCTCAGCAGGGGCAATTTTCTTTCTTCTTCTTTTGATTTGCCTTTATTATTTTCTCCTTTTTTTTTTTCTTCTCTCATCCCTTCGCCTTTTCATGAGACTCTTCCAAACCTCCGTCCCTGTCCTTCTGCAGGATAGTAACCCTGCCCTGAATCCAAGCCCACCACGGGGAAGAGTTTAGCAATAAGGAGTTCTTTGAAAGCCCAATATGACAGTTGCTACTGGAGATCCTGCAGATGAAGCTGCAGCTCTTCCTGGTCACCCCCAGGACACATATAACCCTGAGACAGACCATGAATGCTGCGAGAGGGTGGTCATTAACATCTCAGGGCTGCGTTTCGAGACACAGCTCAAGACACTTGCTCAGTTTCCAGAGACCTTACTAGGAGATCCTAAAAAGAGGATGAGATATTTCGACCCTCTGCGGAATGAGTATTTCTTTGACCGCAACAGACCCAGTTTCGATGCCATTTTGTACTATTACCAGTCTGGTGGGAGGTTGAGGAGACCTGTAAATGTGCCCTTGGATATCTTCTCAGAAGAGATTCGTTTCTATGAACTGGGGGAAGAAGCCATGGAGATGTTTCGGGAGGATGAAGGTTACATCAAAGAAGAGGAAAGGCCATTGCCTGAGAACGAGTTCCAGAGACAAGTGTGGTTGCTCTTTGAGTACCCTGAGAGCTCAGGCCCCGCCAGGATTATAGCTATTGTCTCTGTCATGGTGATTTTAATCTCCATCGTCAGCTTTTGCCTGGAAACCTTGCCCATTTTTCGGGATGAGAACGATGACATGCACGGCAGTGGCCTGAGCCACCCTCCCTACTCCAACAGCAGCATGGGCTACCAGCAGTCCACCTCCTTCACAGATCCCTTCTTCATTGTGGAGACCCTTTGCATCATCTGGTTCTCCTTCGAGTTCTTGGTGAGGTTCTTCGCCTGCCCCAGCAAGGCTGGATTTTTTACCAACATCATGAACATTATAGACATTGTGGCCATCATTCCCTACTTCATCACCTTAGGGACAGAGCTGGCTGAGAAGCCAGAGGATGGCCAACAGGGCCAACAAGCCATGTCCTTGGCCATCCTCCGAGTCATCCGCTTGGTGCGGGTCTTCAGGATCTTCAAGCTCTCCAGGCACTCCAAGGGGCTGCAGATCCTGGGGCAGACCCTCAAGGCCAGCATGAGGGAGCTGGGTTTGCTCATCTTCTTCCTCTTCATCGGTGTCATCCTCTTCTCCAGCGCCGTCTACTTCGCCGAGGCCGACGAGAGCGAGTCGCAGTTCCCGAGCATCCCCGATGCCTTCTGGTGGGCTGTGGTTTCCATGACGACTGTTGGCTACGGAGACATGGTCCCCACGACCATCGGGGGGAAAATAGTGGGTTCCTTGTGTGCCATCGCTGGAGTATTAACCATTGCCTTACCAGTGCCCGTCATAGTGTCTAACTTCAACTACTTCTACCACCGGGAGACGGAGGGAGAGGAGCAGGCTCAGTATCTGCAAGTAACCAGCTGCCCAAAGATCCCTTCTTCCCCTGACCTAAAGAAAAGCAGAAGTGCCTCTACTATTAGTAAGTCTGATTATATGGAGATTCAGGAAGGTGTAAACAATAGCAATGAGGATTTTAGGGAGGAGAACTTGAAGACAGCCAATTGCACCCTAGCTAACACAAACTATGTGAATATCACCAAGATGCTAACTGATGTCTAGTTGCTAAACCCTAGTCACGTATTTAAAGCTCAAGTGGAACAACTGCAGATATTGAGTGCTGCTCTGCATTGTAGTTAACACAGTCTTTTCTACGGTGTATATTTGGTTCTGCATGGGAAGCAATAGCTGTGTAAGTGACTTTTAACCTTTGATTTCCACACTGAGTAAGCATCTGTGCAAACAGACCCAACAAACCCAAACCATGTTGTTCCCCTTCTCCCATCCCAGGCTTGTGGGGATCCAAAGATGTGGAGGGGATGGGTGTTTTGTGCGGAGGGAAATACAAGCCCCACTCCCTGTCCTGGGTGACAGTCAGCTTCTAGGCATGGGGAATGGCTGGGAAAGGTCAGGCAGAGCTCCCTGAAGGAATGATCAACCATTTGGTTCCCCTTCTCCCATCCCAGGCTGAGGGTATCCGAATATGAGGAGGAGTTGGGCATGTTGTGCACTGGGAACCACAAACCCCACTCCTTGTCCTGGGTGACAACCAGCTTCCAGGCATGGGGAATGGCTGGGAAAGGTGAGGCAGAACTCCCTGAAGGGATGATTAACCATGTTGTTCCCCTTCTCCCATCCCAGGCTTGTGTGTTTCCAAACATAGGGAAGGGATGAGCGTTTCACGCAGCAGGATGGGGATGTGAGGGGCAGCTCTGGGTACCACAAATCCTGCTCCCTGTCCTGGGTGACAACCAGCTTCCAGGCATGGGGAATGGCTGGGAAAAGTCAGGCAGAGCTCCCTGGAGAGATGATGGACCAATTGGTTCACTTTCTCCCATCCCAGGATTGTGGGTGTCCAAAGATTTGGAAGGGATGGGCATTTGGCACAGCAGGGTGGGTATGTGAGGAGCAGCTCTGGGTACCATAACCTCTGCTCCCTGTCCTGGATGACACCCAGGCATGAGGAATGGCTGGGAAAGGTGAGGCAGGTCACGAAGGGATGTTGAACCATTTAGTTCCCCTTCTCCCATCCCAGGATCGTGTGTATCCAAACATACGGAGGGGAATGGAGTTTCACACAGCAGGATGGGGATGAGGAGCAGCTCTGGGTATCACAGACCCTGCTTCTTGTCCTGAGTGACAACCAGCTTGCAGGCATGGGGAATGGCTGGGAAAGGTGAGGCAGAAATCCCTGAAGGGATGATGAACTGTTTGGTTCCCCTTCTCCCATCCCAGGCTTGAAGGTTTCTGAAGATACAGATGGGAATAGCATTGCACTCAGCGGGATGGGGATGTGAGGAGCAGCTCTGGGTACCACAAACCCCACTCCCTGTTCTGGGTGACAACCAGACATGGGGAATGGCTGGGAAAGGTCAGGCAGAGCTCCCTGAAGGGATGATGGACTGTTTGGTTCCCCTTCTCCCATCCCAGGTTTGTGGGTTTCCAAAGATAGGGAAGGGATGGATGTTTCACGCAGCGGGATAAGGATGTGAGGAGTAGCTCTACACTGTCCTGGGGTAACACAGCCCCTGCTCCCTGTCCTGGATGACACCTAGGTGTGGGGAATGGCTGGGAAAGGTGAGGCAGAAGTCCTGAAGGGCTGATGAACCATAGTGTTTCCCTTCTCCCATCCCAGGATCATTGGTTTCCAAAGACAGGGAAGGGATGGGCGTTTGGCACAGCAGGATGGGGCAGGTCTGGGTACCACAGCCCCTGCTCCCTGTCCTGATGACACCAAGGTGTGGGGAATGGCTGGGAAAGGTGAGGCAGAAGTCCTGAAGGGCTGATGAACCATAGTGTTTCCCTTCTCCCATCCCAGGATCATTGGTTTCCAAAGACAGGGAAGGGATGGGCGTTTGGCACAGCAGGATGGGGATGTGAGGGGCAGCTCTGGGTACCACAGTCCCTGCTCCCTGTCCTGGGTGACACCCAGGTGTGGGGAATGGCTGGGAAAGGTGAGGCAGAATTCACTGAAGGGAGGCTGCAGTGTTGTGGCCGAGCTGCTGGCAGGCTCAGGTTTCCATCCCGGGAAAAAGTGTTTCATAACTGCAAATGCTGCATGCTGCAATAGTTTCAGCCACTGCAGTGAGCCAGTGGCAAGCCCAGGGGAGGGATAATTAGTGTGACAGCACATTATTTATTAAGTCTTCAATTTTCTATGCTAGGGATGAGTAAATAACTCCAGAGCTTGGGGGTTATTCCTTTCTTTCGATGCCACTTCCATCCCCAAGATTTCCAGGCTCACCAAAGACACTTCCACTGACACATTGAAAACGAGTTGGAAAAAGCATCTTTTATTTATTTATTTATTTTGTTTTCTATCTCTCTATATAAAACTGGAGCAACTCTGCTGTGGCCTCTAATATATTTATACTGCAGTGAAATGTAACCAGTTAATCCAGTACAGCTGCATGGGTATTTGTTGCATGAGTCTGAATATTGAATACACACACAAAATATCTATTTTCTTAGTAGACTATACAGTATTCATGTTTCTAGTGTTTCTAGATTCTCTCCAGTGGCTCCAAGGAGATTTATGGGAGGTCAAAAATCTCCGGGATGGTTCAAAAAACTGGATGGGGAAGGCACTGACAACAGTTGGATAACAGTTGGATAGATCCCAAGGGCAAAGCCTGAGTGGCCAAGCAGCCACAAGAGCTGACTGATGCAAGCAAGGGAAGGTGAGCTGAAAGTTAAGCACCTGCACTCATTATGGGGAAGGTAATTAGTCATTTATCTTGGTGTCAGGAGCAGAAGCCACAGCAGATCAGAGAGGGCACGAGGAGCAGGTGGAAGAGCAGGTTCTGGCTCTCCTGACTTGTTTGGTCAGCACTTTTCAGCTGCTCCTGTATAAGTCTCGTCTGTCTGTGTGTGTGTGTGTGTGTGTATAGATATTTAGAGAGCAACTTCAGGGCTGAACCCTCAGCAAACAGAGCTTGGGGCAGTGGGAATTTCCCAGCTCAGGGGGCTGGAGCAGGAGGACCTGCCCCATGGAGCCCATGGGAATCCCATGGGTGTGTTTGGGCTGGAAAACTTCTTTTCAGCCGTGAAGAGCCTCAGGGCTGGGGGTTATTCCTTTCTGGAGGAGAAGGCATGTGCTGAGGATGAGCTGGATCCAAGCTGGTGCCTCTGAGCCTTTGCTTTGCCTTCTCCCAGGGTGTTTTGGAGGGGTGAGTTGAGGTGCAGAGACCCTGAGGTTGTCTCTGCTGCGTCTTCACCCCCAGCGTTATTCAGGGCTGGGTGGGAGCTGTTGATCCATTGGGATCTCATCTGCTTTCCCCATCCCCATCTGGATTCCCTTGTGTTTTTTCCCTCCTCCTTTGCTGACAATCCCCAGGGATATGTTCCCTGTTCCTCTGCCAGGCCAAGGCAGAGAAATACAAACCTCTGCCAAGGTCATGGCTGAGCAAAGCCTCCCTGAGCTGCTGCCTGGGGTTCAGCCCTGGATTTGGGATGAATTTGGGTTGAATTTGGGTAGGATTAATGCCAATGCAAGAAGTGTGGGCACAAGGAGGGAACCCCATGGCAGAGCACGTGGAGGAGGTCAGGGCAGACCCTCCCTGAGCTCAGAGAGGAAAACCTTACTCCAAACAATAAACCAAATGGTGCTAATGTATTTACAGCAATGGCTCCAAGTGCTGCTCTGGGCTTGGCTCTGTCTCGTGCTCAGGTGGCTTCACTCAGCCAGGAGGGATCACTCCTCAGTTTGTTTGGGCTGATGGATTGATTCAGGCCTGGCTATAATCAATACCAACTGTCCACAGGGAGTGTGTGAGAGTCCTGGCTGCTCCCTGGGGCAGGGGATGAGCAGCAACCACGTGTTTGGTCTCAGGGGTGCTCAGCACCAGGCAGCACCACCTTCAGCCTGTCTTCAATTGCATCTTGTTATGTTGGGAGCCCTTTGCTCCCTCTTCACTGCAGCAGCTCTGGAATGGGAGCCCTGAAGTCCAAACACACACACAAACACACAAAAAGCAACACAAGCAAAAGCAATAAATTCTGACTCCTGAAGCTCATCCTGTTGGATAAGCCAGGACTGGTGTGAGTCTCTGGCTCGGGCATGATCCCCAGGGCACTCAGCCAGCTCCCATTGATCCAGCTCCTGAGGGGGGCACAGGGATGTACCCTGTATGGGGAAGCTGCTTGAGGTGCTGCTCACCCACCTATGGGTGCTCCTGGCACAGTGATCCATAGGGATGTGACCTTGCACTGGGATGCTGATCACACACCTATGGGTGCTCCTGGCACAGTGATCCATAGGGATGTGACCTTGCACTGGGATGCTGATCACACACCTATGGGTGCTCCTGGCACCCTGAAGCTCATCCTGTTGGATAAGCCAGGACTGGTGTGAGTCTCTGGCTCGGGCATGATCCCCAGGGCACTCAGCCAGCTCCCATTGATCCAGCTCCTGAGGGGGGCACAGGGATGTACCCTGTATGGGGAAGCTGCTTGAGGTGCTGCTCACCCACCTATGGGTGCTCCTGGCACAGTGATCCCTAGGGATGTGACCTTGCACTGGGATGCTGATCACCCATCTCCACTTATGGATGCCCTTAGTCCCAGGTGATCCCACAGGGCTGTGACCTTGCACTGGGATGCTGCTCACACACCTATGGGTGCTCCTGGCCCCAGGTGATCCATAGGGATGTAACTTTGCACTGAGATGCTGCTCACACACCTATGGGTGCTCCTAGCCCCAGGTGATCCCTTTCCTGGTTGAGGACAGGTTGCTGCAGGGTTTTTGGGAGGATACTGTACTCAGTGAGACCCTGTGAAGTGCTGGTTGATGATGTCCATGGGCTGCAGATGGTTTGGAGGAGCTTTGGCCAAAGTATTGGATGTGTGTTGGGCCATGAGCACCACTATGGTTTGGTGAGGAGGAAGATAGTTTCCTTTGGGGAGATGATGCTTTGAGCATGATGTTCCTTGGGGCTTCCCATGGCCAAGCAGGAGGGGAGAGCAGGTCCATGAGCAGGATGAGGCTCACTGGGTCATATCCAAACCCACTCCTCAAGCTGGAGGGTCCCAGCTGCCTTGGGGAGCCCAAAAGCCACATCAGAGGGACAAATGGGGACGAAGAGCAAGAGGCCACACTGTTGTGAGCTGATGTCTGTCCCTTCCCTAGGACAGATCCTGCACCTCTTCCATTGACCTCAGCAGATGTTCCTGGGGAAAACGAGCCCTGGTGGGAGAGCAGCTCTGTGCTGCCCTTGTTTGGGAAGGAGGAGGACACACAGCTCAGTGCTCAGATGTTTGGTTCAGGGTGGAAAAGGTCGGTGAGGGCCGTGGCTGGGAGCAATCCTGCACA